TTTATTCACCAAGGCGCCCCTGGGGGTTACAAGAAATAATGGCCACAAGCTAGCAGACAGCAGATTTAGACTGGACATTAGGAAGAACTTCTTCACAGTTAGAGTGGTCAAGGTCTGGAATGGTCTTCCAAGGGAGGTGGTGCTCTCCCCTACCCTAGAGTTCTTCAAGAGGAGGCTGGATATGCATCTGGCTGGGGTCATCTAGACCCAGCACTCTTTCCTGCCTATGCAGGGGGTCAGACTCGATGATCTTTTGAGGTCCCTTCCGACCCTAACATCTATGAACTCGATATGAATAATAATTGTAGAGCCATATATATATATGTCTATTTTTGTCATATTAGAATTAAAATGTTCAGGGTTTTTTTCTTATTTATCCAGTGCTGGTCACAAATGGGTCCTGGTACAGAGGAGGTTGAGATCTGCTGCTGAGTCAGCTATGTAGGGCCAGTGGTGCATGTGACACCCTCCCCCTTCCAGTCTGCAGAAGCTCAGACAGGGTCCCAGGCCCTTAAAGGCCAGGCTGAAATGGAGCAAATACCCTGTTGCCTCCCCTGGGATTCGAACCTAGCTCTACCCCTTCCCCTGAGCCACGTGCGAAACACAGGACCTCCCCACTCTGCGCCACTAGGGCGGCGCTCGCTCTCAGCGCCGAGGCGGACTCTCTTCGCTTCCTCCCATCTCTATGGCTGGAGGACTTACCCCCGGGCGGCGCTCTCTCCTGCGCTCCGCTCTCGACGGTCCTCGCCGGCGTCCGCTCTGCGTCGCCCTCTCGCTGGTGCGGGGCGGGTGACGCCCGCCGAGGGGCCGCGGCCGCCATTTTGTGCGAGCACCAGGCGGAGCCGGACGGGCCCGAGCGCTGCGGGACGGAGCGGACGGAGCCGGGCCTCTCCCTGCGCCGCCATGCCCTCCTCGCCGCTCCGTGTCGCCGTGGTCTGCTCCAGCAACCAGAACCGCAGCATGGAGGCGCACAACATCCTCAGGTACCGCCGCCGCGCCCGGGCCTGCCCCCCCGCACCCTGCGGGCTTCCCCGGGCCTCGGCATGGGGGCGAGCCCTGGAGCCTGCCCAGGCCTCTAAAATACCCAAGACCCTCAAATCATAGGGTGGGACGGGGCCCTAAAATGGCTTTAACCCCCCCCCCCCCAATTATAGGGTGGGCGGGGTGAGGCCTGGAGTCTGCCCAGGCATTTAAGGGGGTCCCTAAAACGGATTTAACCCCCGCCCCATCATTGGTGGGTGGAGCGAGTGCTGGAGCCTGCTCAGGCACTTAAGGGGACTCTAAAATGGTGTAGCCCCCCTCCCCAAATTGTAGGGTGGGGGCCCTAAAATGGTCTTAACCCCCCCAATTGTAGGGGGGGCCCTAAAATGGTCTTAACCTCCCCCCCAAATTGCAGGGTGGGGGGCCCTAAAATAGTGTTAATTTCTCCAAATGGTAGGGTGGGCAGGATGAGCCCTGGAGCCTGCCCAGGCATTTAAGGGGTGCCTTAAAACGGCATTAACCCCCCAAAATTATAGGCTGGGTGGGATGAGCCCTGGAGCCTGCTCAGACACTTAAG